GCTGATTACCGTATGTTCGTTAGTGTCTAAAATAAGCAATGTTCATTATTTCTATTTCAAACAAACACACACTCACACGCTAACATACAAATGCGCGCGCACGCACACACACACACACACACACACACACACACACACACACACACACACACACACACACACACACACACACACACACACACACACACACACACACAACCCCCCCCCCCCCACATATACACACACCCACACAACAAACAAACAAACAAACGACCCCACACATATGACAACCCCCCACCCAACCCCCCACAACCCCCTAACACCCCCCCCGAGTACTCACCCCCTTTTAAACCACCCCCCTCTCTCCCCCTCTTTCTCCCCCCCATCAGATGACGACTACTGCCAGCTCGTGAAGGAAGTCCACCCATACAATGAGGGCCGGAGACTTCTTGACATCATGGACATGTCAATCTTGGACTTCCTCATTGGCAACATGGATCGACATCATTATGAGACGTTTAAGGTTAGATTGGGGATGATCTTGTGAGGGGGGGGGGGTATGGGAAAGAGGGTTTTTCTTTGTTTTGTTTTATTGGTGTTTTTTTTTTTTTTTGGGGGGGGGGTGATGGATGGCTTTGGGGGTGTTTAGTGTCATTGTTTGTTTTATTTATTTGTTGATTGATTTGTTTATTTGTTTTATTTATCTGTTCATGCGTTTATCTATTTATCTGTGTATTGATTTGTGTATGAATTTCTTTCTCTCTCTCTCTCTCTTTCTTTATGATTAGTTATATACTTGCATGTGTTTATTTTTATTTATTTATTTGTTGTCTTTTCATTGTCGTGTTTATGAAATCATGTATTTATTCTTAAAGTTTAGGAGGTTCTTGATTTGTTCTATACATATATATGTGCATTTTTTCAATTTCTCAATAATTCAAAATATGAAAAATGACTTAATATGACGTATACATAGAATTAAGAATAATCTCTCAATAACAAGAAATCACAAGCAACAGACAAATATTTTTTTCTGTTTAAATCATATTGAGAACATAATCAAAACAAAACACAGAGCTCATAAACTGATTGTTCGGACAGGTGTTTGGCAACCGAACGGCGCCCATTCACCTCGACAATGGCCGCGGCTTCGGCAAACCTTTCCACGATGAAGTGTCGATTCTGGCGCCGCTGTATCAGTGTTGCCAAATACGACACTCGACACTTTCTACTTTATTGAGGTAAGTGGCTGTGTGTTTGGATGGGGAGAGGGGTGTTTGTCTGTGTGTGTATGTGTGTGTGTGTGTGTGTTTGTGTTTGTGTGTGTGTGTGTGTGTGTGTGTGTGTGTGTGTGTGTATGTATGTGTATAGATAGTGATTAATATATTCCATTCCAAATCCCTCAGAATTCCCTCGCATTTAGTATTCAGAATTCCATTTATTTCAAATCACGCAGTCATCTAGAATCCCCAATCAGTTACAATCACCCAGTCACTTAAAATACCCACTCAGTACCCAACATCCAATGTTGAGACTCCCCAATAGTAACAGTCACCAAATCAGTTACAATCACTCACTTACAATCACCCACTCATTCCGGACCCAACCCTCAAAGTCTCTCTGTCTCTCTCACCCTCTCACTCTCTCTCTCTCTTCCCTCAGATTCCACTCGGGCCCAATGCATCTGAGTGAGGCCATGAGGGTGTCGATGTCAGTGGACGCCGCAGCCCCTGTGTTGTGGGAACCTCATCTGGTCGCCCTTGATAGGAGGCTCAGTATCATCCTGCAGACGGTGCGAGAGTGTGTGGATAAGACGATGGATCCTATGGCTGTTATCGTGAATGATCATCATTAAGGGATAGGGAGGTGGGGGAGGAGGAGATAGAGGAGGAGGGGGAGGAATGGAAGGAGGAGGGAGGGAAGGAGGAGGAGGAGGAGGAAGGGAAGGAGGAGGAGGAGGAAGGGAAGGAGGAGGAGGAGGAAGGGAAGGAGGAGGAGGAGGAGGAAGGGAAGGAGGAGGAGAAGGAGGAAGGGAAGGAGGAGGAGGAGGAGGAAGGGAAGGAGGAGGAGGAGGAGGGGGATAAAAGGGTTTGAGGAAGAAGAAGAGAGGATGACAGACAAGAAGGTTAAAGAGAAGGAGAGTGTGAAGGCAAAAAGGAAGATGGAAAAGAAGCAGAACCGGAAAGTGAAGGAGAACGATGAAAAGGTGAAAGAAAGAAAGGATGAAGAAGTAGGAGGAGGAAGAAAAAAAAAGAAAATTAAAAAATACAATTGTTAGTTCCTCAGTTCCAAGAAAGTGTTTTATATTTATGTTATTGTGAAAAAAAACATGAAAAAGTGAAGCTAAATAAAAAATATATATATATATTGATGAACATGTCTCTCTGTGGTTTCTTCTTGGAACAAAAATTTCCTAATGGTTATGTGACGTGACTTTTTTTCGGTGTTGAAGATATAATTAGATAAAAAAAAAAAAAATCTGAATACCTGTGATAATAGTGGACACTGAATTAAGAATTAA